GTAATGGTATGTGACTTTTAAGACTAGGTCATAAACATTGCTTCTTCCTTCTCTCTCTTGAATCACCTTAAATGAAAGAAGTTAGCTACCAATAACGGCGCCTGGGTGGCTCAGTTGGTTAAGTGTCTGCCTTCGGCTCAGGTCATGATCCCAGGGTTCTGGGATCGAGCCCCACATTGGGCTCCCTGCTTGGTCGGCAGCCTGCTTCATCCTCTCCACTACTTGTTCACGCGCTGTCTGTCTCTCTCTTTCTCAAATAAATAAATAAAATTAAAAAAAAAAAAAAAAGGAAGTTGGCTACCATGTTATGGTGATGCTCTAAGAACCCTATGGAGAGCTGCACATGGTGAGGAATCAAGGAAGAAGGGCTCCTGCCACCAGCCAGCAAGGAATGGAGGGCTCCAGCCAATAGCCAAATAAGTGACCCATCTTGGAAGTGGATCCTCCAGCCCTGTCAAGTGTTCAGACTATAGTCACAGCCAATAGCTTGATGGCAACCTTATGAGTGACCCTGAGCCACTATCTCTGCTAGATAACACATGTTTGTTGGTTAAGCAGCTACATTTTGCAGTAACTGTTACGCAGCAATAATACCAAATACATCATCTATTCGGTAAAGAAACCACAAGTTATAGTTCTAATAACAGCAGAGTAGATTCCATCACGCTAACTCCTCTAAAAGATAATAATGAAATTCTCAACAAAAGATTTATTGAATAGAAACACGACTTTACAAGGGCATTGGAAAGCAACAAGAAGAAGGCAGAAGCAGGCAGGGGATTCAGTTCTTGAAAGAAGGGAACCATATTGGGTATGATGCAAGTTTAAATAACTTTTCTTCTGAGGGAACTCCCCAATTCTCTTGGTATGGAGAGACTAGAACTTAAGCAGGAAAGTGCAATCTAATTCTCCCGGGGAGGCATGGGATGGAGTTTGGGACTGCTAGAGCAGCTGGAAATTGAGATAAATCCCAGAAAGGAGAGAGCCACAGAAGAGGACATATAAACTCCCCTCAAACACTTGGCTGACCCCTGAACTAAACATGTTTGGGCAAAACTTTAAGAAGTTCAGGAGGAAAAGACCAGCTGGAGGCTGAATGAGCAGAGTGGATATTTCAGCTGCTGCCTATTGTAGGGGAGTCAATTTGGAGTTTGACTCTTGTCAAGTTAGAGGTCTTGGTAAACATTTCAATCTTTCCACTGAGACGCCAAAAGGGTCATGATCTAAAAGTAAAGACTATGTGGTGGGGATAAAGAATCTTCCCTAAGGCTAAGGGCAAATCAGAAAGAGATCAACCATAAAAAATGAATAATCAAACCTCTACATGTTCCACTTGAGCTGACTGCTAGAACAAAACTCAACAGCATTCAAAGATCACAGAATCCAGGGCGCCTGGGTGGCTCAGATGGTTAAGCGTCTGCCTTCGGCTCAGGTCATGATCCCAGGGTCCTGGGATCGAGTCCCGCATCGGGATCCCGGCTCAGTGGGGAGCCTGCTTCTCCCTCCCTCTGACCCTTGCCCCTCTCATGCTGTTTCTCTCTCGCTCTCTAAAAAATAAATAAAAATCTTTAAAAAAAAAAAAAAAAGATCACAGAATCCAGAGTCTCTACAATAGCACAACAATGTCTAGTGTACAGCAAAAATTTACTAGCCATTTGCAAAGAAAGAGGAGTACATAACCCATTGTAAAAAGAAAAATCAATCATTAGAAACACCCAGAAATGACCTAGATACTGGAATTAGTACAAGTCTTTAACTCTTACAAATATGTTAAAGAATCTAAAACAAAAGATAGAAATAATGGGTGAAGAAAAGAAGAATCTCAGGAAGGACCTGGAAACAATAAAAAAAAATTGTCAAGTGGAAATCACAGGACAGAAAGGCAGGAGATCTGAAAAGTTAAAAAAAAAAAAAAATTCATTGGATGGAATTAACAACACATTGGACGCAACAAAAGAAAGTACTAATGGACCTGAAGACGGTGCAATAGAAATCATATACTTTGAAGCACGAAGCACAGAGAGGAAAAAAGGACTTAAAACAATGAACACAGCCTCAGTAACCTGTAAGGTACATCAAGCAATCTAACAACTATAACTGGTGCCCAAAGAGAGGAGAAAGAAAATAGGGTTGAAAAAAATTAAATAACGACAGAAATTTTTCCACATTTGACTTAGACCAAAAAATAAGAACAAGCCAGTAGGAAGCCAAGCAAACCCCAAGCTAGATAAACATCAAGAAAATTACACCAAAGGACATTATAGTCACAGGCAAAGCACAGATAGAAAAAAAGAAATCACATTATGTAAATGGGGAACAACAATAAGGATTATAAATGACTCATCATCAGAAACAATGGACACCAGAAGAGAATGGAAGAACATTTTTAAAGTGTTGAAAGAGAAACAGGTCACATTAGAATTCTATGTTCAGCAGAATTTCTTTCAAAAATGAGGATGAAATAAAGACACTTTCAGATGAATGCTGAGATAAATTGTCATCAGTACACCTGCACTTCAAAAAATACAAAAAGAAATTCTCAGGCTAGAGAAAAATGGAAACCACATAGAAATCCGAAGCTAGAAAGTAAGGATGAACACTGGGAATGGTAAATATGTAGGTAAATATAGTCTTTTCCAATAATATTTTAAGGTCAACTGTTTAAAGCAAGAATAACAATAGCACAAAGCATGAGAGTGAGTGTGAATTCAAATAATCTGTTTTAGGTTCATATGTAATACGTGAAGTAGGACAAGAATGATTCCAGAGAGATTGAAGTAAGTTAGGAAATACACTTTAATCTCTTGAGCAACAGCTAAAAAGAGAAAAAATTAAAGGGTAAGCTCATAGTCAGTTCCATTGGCATCTCAGAAATTTCTGCCGTGTGTTAGCACACCCTACGTGGCATGCCTCCATGCTGTGGATCCTATTTTTCCCTCAGCACTTTCTCTGTTCCCAGTCGAATTCTCTCACGTTGAGCTCATGCCTTATCCTCATGCTTCTGCCCTCACTGAGTGCTTGCCCTGCCATACTTAGGACCCCCTGTCTGCCTCTGTCATTTCAGTACTTGGTCTTGTACTATCTTTCATGTTTTTGCACTGTTCATCCCAAAGACATGCGGAGCTCCTAGAAGGTCCCAGATTGTGTCTGTCTTATCCTTATTCTTCCCCTCAGTGGCTGGCACAGTATTATATGTATAGTTTATACTCAGAGATATTAAATACATTAATTAAAAAAATATTCCTGTTCCCAAGCCCTGGTCGTAGAAGTGACCTCTTCAGAATCTGGGAAACTGGGGTAACAATTTTGCATGGAGTATAGAGTGAGAACCAACCACACTCATGTGCACTTTCTCTGGAGGTTCTTTTCCTCCATAACTGCACTGGCCCACATGTGGGTGTTACCTACCTGCCTGACTCCAGAACCCTCTAAACTAGCACCTCTCAAACTGACATTTCTTGTCACACCCTCTAGGGATTTTGTTATAATGTAGATCCTGACTCAGTAGGTCTGGGACAGGGGCTACGATTTTTTGCACTTCTAACAGCTCGTAGACAAGTCAGTGCTAGTCCAGGGTCTTTGGGGAGCAGCGTTCAGACAATCCCAAGGGTGGGGTCTACCCCTCATGCAAGGCAAAACAAATCACTTTTATTCTGCCTCTGAGTTTCAGCAGGAGGGATGGAGTTGGTAGGAGTCCCCCTGCACACTTAGCCCTCAGCCAATGCTTTCCACACACAGTGTCTCAATTCATGGTCATAACAGACCCAGGGAGTCAGCTGAATTACTGCCATTCTTCCTCCACAGATGAAGGAACGAAGGCTCAGAGAGGTTACACTGGCTATCCAGGGACACACAGCTAGCGGGTGGCGGAATTGGGATCGGTACCCACGTCAGCCTGGTCCTACAGTTTATGGAGAGACTTCTTAGGGGTATTTATTCATCAAAACCTCCAGAGTGATGCAGGGAACCCAGCCTCTCCCCCCGTGTAGCTCATAGGAGACCTGAGGGGGCTACAGTCACCCCAGCAAAGGCAAAGCAGCAGGGAAGGCAGCATCCTGGCACACCCACTGAGTGAGCATGAGCACCTCCAAACCGAGAGTCCCAAGTGAGGACACGGGTGCCCCAAAGCCACCTGGATGCTCAAGGACCATTCATGCCCATGGCATGCACCTGCTCAGCTCCCAGCTCAACAAAATGCTCCTAAATGATACTCCGAAGTACCTGTTGATCGCCAGTTTGGATAGTCAAACTGCCAGGCTCAGATGGGGAAGAAGACATGTAACTGTTTGCTCTAAAGCCTTATCCTAGCAAGAGAAGCCTGACTCATAAATGGAGAAGTTAAACAGGAGAGGCAGAAACACCTGGGGTCAGGCACTGCTCCTTACAGGGACCCGGCAGACCCAGTCCCCCACCCGCTGGGGTGAACAAGCCAGGGGGCGGAGGAGTGGGCATGGAGCCAAAGGGAGAGAGGCGGGAAGAGGCTTTGGGGTGATGGAAGGAATGCTGCAAGCCCAGGCCTAAATTGGGAGGACCACATGTGACTGGGGGACACCACGACAAAGGTCCCCCTGAAAAGCTGAGGGGCGGGGGCAGGAGAAGTGGGCCAGCAGGCTGGAGCGGGGACTTCCGTTGTGGAGGTGACAAGGAGCCACTGCAGGGCTGTGAGCAGGAGGGAACCAGAGTGGCCTTTTCGGAGGGGTGGTTTGGTTGACAGTGGGGCCTCAGACTAGCAGGGCCAGAGAAGAGAAAGGCGGCGACTTCCCGACGGCTTTTCGGGCAACACAGTGAGCAATTCCTTTGCCCCGAGGCCCCGGGTCACGGGGTGCTGGCTGCCTGGCACCAGGCTGCAGGCCGGTGCGGGGGGTGGGGGGGTGGGGGTGGTGTCTGATGCAGAGGGCCAAGGCCGGCCGAGGTGAAGCTGCTGAGCCTGGCGGGACGGGACAGTCCAGCACCCCTGCCACGTCCCCGAAGCTCCCCGGCCGCGTGCCCCCGGACCTTACCTCCTATTTTGGCATTGTATGCTATGCCCACGATGCAGTAAGAGTTGTTGGCTGAAGCGGCGACCTCTCCGGCGCAACGAGTACCGTGTCTGAACAAAGCAGAAAACAAAGTTAGGGCTCGGCCCAGCAATCGGTAGTGGATCCGGGGCATTGCTCAGGTGTCCTGCGAGGAGAGTCAGTTAGCCTCTGTCCGGCCGCCCCTCTCATCGCCACCCCTCCCCTGCAGGTTCGCTCCTCCAGCAGGGAGCCTCAGGCCCGGCTTTGCCCAGCCCTGGGCAGTCCTGCCCCTGCCACACCCCACACCGGCAGGCTAACAAGGCCTTCCGGGCCACCCTGCCCAGGGCAAGCACTTGCTCAGGGCCGTCTCGTCCCCATGACCCCAGGACGAAGTGAGGGGCTTCTGCTGGGGCGGGACTCCTCCCGAGCTATGTATTCATGTCACTGACGGCGCATTACCTGGCACGCTGCAGGGGCAGCATAGACATCCGCCGGGCTGACAGGATGGAAGGAGTACTAAAGGGTCCCCTGTGCACCTGCCACCCCCATGCTCACCTCGGGACAGCCCTCCCCTCACCTCCATGGCCACTTAAGCAGGAGCCGAGGAAGAACGCTCTAAATTGGAACACTCACCAGTGGTGGGGGGACTACGAAGAAATTACCAGTAAAACAAATTGCTTTCCTCAGTAATGACCCCATTTTCCAATGTGCTGTATCGAGGTAATTTCTCTAGCAGAGAGGCCAAAATACAGGCAAGTTTAAACAGCCCATCTCTGAGAAGAGTCCACGGGGATTAGAATCATTGATTTAAATTTAAAACCACCTTTAAAAATAGTCCCAGGTCTGCGTGCTAGCCTTCTGGAAGGGAGTCATCTGTCCTTCTGTGGACCTCGTGCAGCCCCCCAGGCAGGGCTGTCCCTAGTGTCACGGAGCTCCATGTCACCCAGATTCAAGCCTGCCCTTCATGGGTCACTGTGTCCTGTCTGGATCATTCCTCCCTGCCCCCTGGATGTGTGACTGGGAAATGAGGCGTCCTGCACCCGAGGCGTGCTCGTCGCTGAGCAGGAAGGGCACCTTGGGCCATGACCTTGGGATGTGAGGCAGGGAAGCAGGCCTCAGGGCTGGGGCCTCCACGGGCTCCGGGGAGCTCTGGGCTCTGTTGTGTTGAACACATCAGCCTGGCTGAGCCTCCCTGCACTGCACAGCGTGAGTACCAGTATTTGAACCTCACCATGGAATCTACAGAAAAGCAAAACACTACACGGGAGGGGGAAGGCACCTTGGCAAGCCTTGTGTCAGCTGGGAGACGAAAGAAGGGGCTTTTGTTCTTTTCCTCTAAATATTTCTGGAGGAACGGTAAGAGCTTGGGGCACAGGGCATGCCAACAGAGAAAAGACAGGCAGGACACAGCGAATGAACGTCCAAGGCCAGGTCTGTGAAGCTGGACTCGACCCCCCCAGGGCTGTCACTTACAGCACACGAGTCACCTCATCTCTCCAGACCCCACTGCCTTCGTTTGCAAAGTGATGAAAACAACTATCTAGACTGTACCCCCATAGTTTCTGCACCTGTCTGCTCACCCCTCCCACAACCCTGGGAGATAGGGAGCATGGTCTCCACGGGAAAGTCTCTAAGACTGAGATGGAGCCACACAGCCAGGGATGGTAGAGCTGGGATTTGAACCCAGATTTATCCAAATTTATCCAACACCACTCATGCCCCTTCCACTTCTCTCATAAGGTCATAGACGGAGACAAGAGAGCTCAGGCATGTGACCTCTGTGCTCAAATAGGCCAAACTGCTGTCTTTTTTTTTTTTTTTTTAAGAGTTTATTCATTTGAGAGAGAGAGAGTGCATGAATGAGGGGAGAGGCAGACTCCCCACTAAGGGGGGAGCCCGATGTGGGGCTCCATCCCAGGACCCCGGGATCATGACCTGAGCTGAAGGCAGATACTTAACCATCTGAGCCACCCAGGTGCCCCCAAACTGCTGTCTTCACACAGCTGGTCATGGACACAAGGCTGGAAACAGGAACAATGTTAGTCAAATATCCGTTTCTAGCTGACCAGCAGAGGTGACACCCCTCAGGAAGAGGCAAAACCCACAGAGGCCGTCTTATGCCTGAAGGGCTGTGCCCAGACTGGCTTCTGGCTCCTGGGTAAGCCCCAGACACCGGCCAGGCAGCCCCATCACCTTTCTGGGATCCCTACTGGGAGCCAGTTCAATAGTGATTCTGCAGGGAGAGGGCCAGGGAAGCAAGGAAGGAGGAGACAAAGTGACGTACTTATTTTCATTGCTGGCGTCATAGCGTGGAGATGGGTCATAATCATTTCCGTTGACATCATAGCTTGCATAGGAATCCTAAGAAAGAAATCTCAGTGACTGAAGAGAAACGGCATAGCATGCTTTAAATGATTTTTATGCCTCTACTAGAAAGTAGAGAAAAACATATACTTGGTACTCTCTTCCTGTAACTATCCTCTTACATACATTTTTATTGAGGTAAAATGTACCCAACGAAATGTAGCCTCCTAACCATTTTAAAGTATAAAGTTCAATGGCATTAAGTACATTCACACTGTTGTGCAACCATCACCACCCTCCATCCCCAGACCCCTTCATCTTGCAAAGCTGACACTTGGCACCCATCAGACGCTAATTCCCCACTCCCCAGTCCCCCAGCTCCTGGCAACCCCCCATTCTGCTTTCTGTCTCTAAGAATTTGACTCTTCTAGGTGCCTCCGATAAGCACAATCATACAGTATTTGGGTTTTTTCATGACTGGCATCTTCCATTTAATGTCCTCAAGGTTCATCCATGTTGTAGTATGTGTCAGAATGTCCTTTCTCTTATATTTCTAATGTTCGTGTCTTTGTTTATATACTCATAGTCACGGTATTCATATCATTTCACATCCTCCTCTTAAAACACTTCAGAAAAGCTCTCCTGAGTTGTTGACTTCAAAACTGTCATTTTTAAGGGCTGCATAACTGTCTCTCAAACAGACATGACATGGGTGAACTTAACCTTTGTTACACACATAGGCTCATTAGAATATTGGAATGCCTTCATCCTATGCACTATGTGCTAGGCTCTCTTCTTTACACTTACAAAGACATTCGATCCTCGTAATAACCTGATGAGATACCATTTTACAGATGGTGACACTGAGGCCCAGAGGTGAAGCAACTTGCCTGAGGTCTCAGAGCTAGTGAGCTGCAGAGCCAGAATAGAAACCCAGGCAGCTGGGTCCAGAGCCCAGGCTTTAACGATGTCATGTTTCACGCTGCTCGTGTTAGCCCAATGACCAGCTCCACCCAAGTTTCTGAATTCTTTAGGACCCATTCTCAGGAGTACATGTGACTCCTCAAACATCTGGACCAATCCTTCTGGGCAACCCCTGGCTCCAGGATGGCAGAGGGAAGTGTGTTTCGCCAACCTTCCCCATCATGGTTTTCTGCACCATTTAATATAATGAGGGGGGCGTGGGGGAGAAATGGCACCTTACGGTTTTTAAAATTTGTACTTATTGAATGACTAGCATGGTTGAATATCTTTGCACGTTCCAGGCTTGACTTACATAGTTTGGTGCCAGGTCGGGGTGATTCCGCTCTATGCCATCATCAAGGATGGTGACCACCACGTTTTTCCCAGTGTAGCCCTTCTTCCACGCTGCCTGGACGTTCATTTCTGATCGGCAGCGGCTGTTCTTGTCACCACAGTGCTGTATGCACAGAAGACACAAGGCACCCCCCCGCCCCCCAGCACGGACTCTCTGAGGCCACACTGTGCCGTAGGATGGACACACTGTACCGCATAAACCCAGCAGGGATGTTCCTAAGTGTGTAAGGAGGAAACACTTCCCCGTGCCCTACAGAGCAGACAACCCCTTTCTCCCACCCATTTTCAGGAAGAGTAAATGTGAAGTGCTCCCTGTGCTTTTCCCACACCTGGCAATCTATCATTTTCCTAGGGCATCATCTTCCTGTGCGGGCTCTCAGTCTTCACTGTTTACTTAGTCCCAAGCTTGCATGAAATCACTCCTCTGCCCAGAGACTCCCCCACCACTCCCCTGGGGCATTTCGCCTCATTCTTTTTTTTAAGATTTTTTTATTTATTAGAGAGAGACACAGCGAGAGAGGGAACACAAGCAGGGGGAGTGGGAGAGGGAGAAGCAGGCTTCCCGCCGAGCAGGGAGCCCGACGCGGGGCTCGATCCCAGGACCCCGGGATCATGACCCGAGCGGAAGGCAGATGCTTAACGACTGGGCCACCCAGGCGCCCCCATTTCGCCTCATTCTTAAACCGTTCACAAGAACATCTGTGCTACACAGCCTTGAAGTAGGGGTTTCACACTGATAGGAAGGAAGTGTGTCTGTTTCGGGTTGCTGTGAGGATTTAGCTCTGCTGGGGGGAAATTAAGCCATCTCGGCAACACAGCAATGCAAATGCCCTGGGGGCAGTGAGGCCGTACTCACCATGTACCACATGTTGGACCAAATGGGGTCGTTGAAATAGAGGGTCTGAGGGTCACTTCGCACCTGTCTCTTCACCCTGCGTTTAACTTCTTGTTGTTGGAACCATTTCACCTGGCGGGGAGAAAAGCAGTTACTATTTATTTTATTTATTTTTATTTTTATTTTTTTTTACAGTTACTGTTTATTTTAAAGGGGATCTCATGATTGTGTCTGCTGTCTCTCGGTAGGAGCTACACAAGTGTCCTTTTTCATGAATATCTGTCTCACAGGAGTCTTGGATAGTAAATACCAAGGAGACATTTTTCACTTCAAAATGACCACATTTGAAAGATGAGAACTCACGGCAGGGGAAATAGGTTTTGAAATCATTCTACTAAAAAAATAAAAAAGAGAGAGAGAGAGAGAGAAAGCTTGTAAAGTTGCCAGTGAATTGTCTGGTGATCCTTGGCCCGAATATGAAGGAAATACATGTATGAGAATGGAAAGAGTGTGAAGAGGGGAGAAATTGATCAAATGGTTCTTGGAAGTTGGAAGCAAGATGTTCTACAGAGAGGACAGGAATCAGTAAATTATAGTAATCCAGACGTTGGAATTTTTAGCAGCCACGGGAAACATGGTACCAAAATAAGCACAGAGAAAAATCTAGAAAGAGACACAGCAAAATGTTAATAGCCGCAATTTTTTGGTGGTGACATTATTGCTAATTAAAAATTTCTAAATTATTTTAGAAATTTAGGGTTTTATAAATTTTCCATTGGCGTGATCTGCCTTCACAACCAAGGAAAATAGTCTGAGAGGGAGTATACATGATATTTAAGAGCGGGAATCCAGGAGTCTAGCGGCCTAGATTCAAAACCCAGGCCCACACTCAACCAGCTGTGAGACTGAGAGTGGTCCAATAACCTCCTGGCCTCAGTTTGCTCATCTGTACAATGGGCACCATCATGGGTTGTCATGAGGGGGCACTGGCATATGAACTGGTGTATATAAAGCACTCACTTCAGTGTGTGTGTGTGTGTGCATGTAAGAGTTTTTCAAGGTAGAAGACATTTGTTTTTATTTTTACTTTTAGAAGATCATGGGGAACAGAATTCCCATGCCCTGAAGCAAAGCATTTTCTTGGTCCTGCTGCCGTGGTCCCACCTGATTCAGTAATGGCTCCCTTTGGGGCCTGGTCTGGCTCTGGGGTGGAGATGGGCAGGATGAGGGCACTGGGGCTCTGCTCTCGGGAGTCTGTGCTCTAGGTGGGGGCTCCCACCAAGCAGCCCGGAGTGTGATGCAGGCTCTGAAGTGGCAGACAGGTAGGGAAGGTGGAGCGAGGAGGAGAAGGAAGGGGGGATGGGAGCCTCAAGGGTGGGGGCAGTGGGGGCCCAGGCACGGCTGGTGACCCCAGGCTCAGACCCAAGGCTGGCATAGCCACCCGTGGGAGCCACCCGAGGCAACTCTGGAAGGGAATAAAAGGCACCCAAGGGCAGAGGGGCAAGATGTCTTCCCTCAGACCTCTCTTGGCCTCAACTTCCCCACACTGTCCTGAAGGGGGTATGCAGAACAGCCCCACATATAGCCTCACATTTAAGGGTGAGGATTGATCTGAAAGGCAACACTGGTCAACAGGACAAAATGCTTAGAAAGGAGTATCACAGCCTGTCCCACTGCCAATGTGCTTTGTTCCTGAAACACGAGCAGACAGACCAGGTTCCTTAGAAACACCACAAACAGCTCAAAAACAATGTTGGGCTAGGCACTAAAACTAACCTCGGCCCCAAGTCCTAGACAATTTATGACTGCTGTGGATAGATACTTCCATGGAAAATAAAACTAGACAATGAGACATTTTGTTCACAATACCCTCTGATGGCATGTTGCAACCTCCCCATACATCACTGCCTGAACCAGAAAGATTTACTTGGTATAAAACGCTTAAGACAATATTTCCTAATCTGCTAAACACTAATTACAAAATAGAGAGTTACGTATACCACTAATGGCCCCAAGCTCCCCGGCATGTTCCCAATCCATCTTGCCCCACTGACTTACCACCCATCTTACTGACATCCAGCATCTTTTGTCCACTGTGGACACTAGGCCCCACTTCCAGTTACAGAGGTGAACTCTCCTCTTGCAAGCCCAAGTGGGTGACTCGCCCAAATCAGGGAGGTGACATGGGAAGGCAAGTTGCCCTAAGTCACAAGATAGTCCCGTAGTGGGATGAAAGAATATGGGCATCCTGGCCCCCAGTCATGGCTGGACTCTGGGTAAGAACCCAACATTAACACCGAATGCTGAGGGCAGGCAGTCATGGCATGGGTCCGTGGCACAGTTGGGGGCTCTCCCTCTAGCATGGTCTCAACGGAAACCCTCTCTCCTGCGACAGGTCATGATAAGTCTTTGACAACCAGCGAGGCGCTGTCAGGCCAATGGAACCAAATATAACAAATTATTCAGATGGAATCGCAGGTGACCTCACTGTCACAGGCTGATTGGGCCAGTGATCCCTGGGTCTGGGCTTGCTTGCCATTTTCTTTCTCTGGGCTCCAGTCACTGCCTTGTTTCTCAGCCAAGTGCTGGGAAGTACAAGGGGATCCTAGACGCTTGTATCTCGTCATTTGCCCAGTCTACCTGGCCTCATTCCTCTGGACGGTACGGCCCCTCTGGTTGCATATTCAGTTGCTCGCTTGACAAAGTTGCATTGAGTGTTACTGTATGTCTGATGCCTGAATACCACTGTGTCCCATCCAGGACCAAGGCACCCTCTGCTGCACCCCCAGCTCAGATACAGGGTTCTGCAGAGGCCCCTCAGGCTGGAACCCAGGAGCCACCTGGCCTGTCCAGCAAGGTCACAGGGGCTAACCCAAAACCATGTGACTAAAACTTTAGCTCTCCCATCAAATAGTATCTGCGCCTGTCCTTGTTAAAGGGGTGACGCTCCCACAGGCATGTCTGAGGGTCTTTGTTCATGAACACTGATGTGATTTATGAGAAAGGGATGGGTAGTTTAGGATCTCCAAGGAGGTGTCACTCATGGAATGATTCTTCTGCAGAACGTGGGAACAAATAGGGCGAAACAGTGAAGTGGTCCTGATGGTGGGTGTCGAGGCTGGGAGGGAGACCCGACTGAGGCTATTTTCCTTGATGCATGTGATTATCTTTCTTAGAAAAGGCAACCCAGGATCCTTTGTGGGGTTTCAAGTATTCTTCATACTATTTCTCTGGCAGTTCACCTGGATGGCCCCTTTACACTGAAGATTCACTCATGGTCTATCCAGATCCCTCAGCTTCCTGGGGAGGCGTTCAGACGTTCTCTTGGTGAAAAATGCAGGGGAGGAGACAGTGTACTGTACATACGATCTACCTTTCAAGGCCACAGACATAGAACTCAGAAAATCAGTCCTAAACTCAAGTAAGTCTGCAAAGGAGTGGGCCTGGAGCATACTAAAATACGTTCAGGGCCTAAGTATGCCTGGTAAGGGTTGAGCCCAACCTTCTTATGAAGACAATGGATCGTGCATCAAACCTTCAGATCACTGGACTGAAGGAAGAGGGAATATTATGCACAAGAAAGTGCCTGCTCATTCTACTTCACTCCCCACAGGCTTTTTTTTTTTTTTTAAGATTGTACTTATTTATTTATTTGAGAGAGAGAGAGGAAGGGCAGAGGGAGAGGGAGACAGAGAATCTCAAGCAGACTCCACACTGAGCACGGAGCCCAATGTGGGGCTGAGATCATGACCTGAGCTGAAATCAAAGAGTCAGATGCTGAACCAACTGAGCCACCCAGGCCCCTCCATAGGTTTTATAGTAGGTCGATGGTGGCCTCCCAAAAGGTATGTCCACCCAGAAGTAACTAAATTAAGGATCTCCAGATGAGATTACCCTGGATTATTTGGGTGTGCCCTAAACTCCAATGACACATGTCCCCATACAAGAAGGCAGGAGGACAGCCCTCGGGAAGATGGAGACAAAAGCAGAGATGGGAGGGATGCAGCCAGAAGCCAAGGAACACCTGGAGCCAACAGAAGCTGGAAGAGGCAAGGAAAGATTCTCAGCTGGAGCCTTCAGGGGAGTTACTGCCCTATGGAGACCTTGATTCCAGACTGCTAGACTTCAGGACTATGAGATCATAAATTTCTATTATTTTAAGGCATCCAGTGTGTGGCCAAGCTGTCCTCAGAGAGTAATACAGCTTTAAATAGTGGCCTTAATCAGGGCTGGGATTTTTCAATGTTTAAGAACCCATGAGGCTGTCCTGGTAATGGAGGATCTGGGATTCCCAGCTCGGCCAGGCCTCCCCTCTCGTCGCTGGTGATGAGAACACATGGGACCCCAGAGGAGGGGCTGCTGTGGCTGAGGCTGCCCTGGGAGGTACCCTGGGCCAGGGAGAGATGCTCGAGGCAGCCGCTCTTTACCACTATTTTCAACCCCAGAACAGCTACCCTGGTGTTCCCACTGGGGCCAACTCTGGCTAGAACCACCTCCCATACAGATCTGTAGCTCTCGCCCTGACCACTCCCTGCCTGACAGGTCACACGGCCCTCCTCACCTCTCCCCTCTGAACCTCACTCTACCCCCAGGCTACTCTCGCCTGGCCTTCCACAGCCAGCAGGCCTGGCTGTGCCACGAGGCTCTGTGCCTTCTGACTGGCGTGCCCTTCCCCCCTCCCTGGGCCACTTACTTATATTCATCTTTTGACCTCCACACGTGCTGGAAACCTTTTCTGACATCCAGGCTGGCCATTGAAGGGGTCCCCCTCGGGGCTCCTAGGCTCCCCTGCATGTCTCTTTACCACTGCCCTCACCCCCCAGTGTGCACACTGTTATTCAGGAGCCCTTCTTTCCTCTCAGGAGGGATGACTGAGGGCACCCTTTTTTCCCCAGCTCTCAGCAAACATCTGCCCTGTAACAGGTACTAGCTCAGGAAAGCTTTGCTGGACCAAAGTATCATCCTCTTTCTTACGGAAAAGGCAAAATGAAAACTGACACAGGATGAATACAAACTTCGGTGAGTCTCTGCCTGAGGTCGAGGGCTTGTCCCACACCTTGTTCTTCCAGCACTGGCCAGTCCATGATTGGATGTATCTGGGGGTCCGTCTGATTGCCCTCTGCTCCCCACTGGCCTGTGGGCGGGCCTGGGTTTTCCTCACCGCTGTATTTTAGTGTGCCAGGCAATGTGTGGGATATAGAAGGAGTTCACTAAATGCTTCTTGAACGCAGGAGTGAAGTTCAATGAATACATTTCAGATTACAAATATAACCACAAGTAGACTATTAAAAACACATTTCAGCGGAGAAAATGTAATTGAGTCTTAATGACCACCCGATGACCTTGATTGATTTTTTTTTTTTTTTTTTTTTTGTGGAAGATCAACCATAAATGATTTGGGCCAAGAGCAAGGTTTGCCAGACATGTGGCCCAAACACAAATCAGCTCTCCTAGCACACCTGTATAAACCTGTATAAAATGTCTTGATTTCTTCAAAGTCATGTTTTGAAGGTGGAACTTCACGCTGATCCTTTTCCTTTTACCTATTTTTTTGGGGGTATGTTTCTTGCTAAACCTACAGCATATTTATCATAGAAAGTTATTTGCTCTGGGGAAGAGAATTCTAGGCACGCAGAAGACTTCCTCATCTTCCCAAGGTTACTGTGAATAGCAATGCTTTCTTTTGCCAGGCATGCCCCCACCCCATCTTTCTTCTTGAGAAGTCAAATTAAAATTAGTCATCTGGGAATGCCATTCTATAGAGAAGGTAAAATGTAAAGATGTGTATAAAGAGGTGACATAAATGAGCAGGATCCCACTAGATGGCCTGTGGGTGTCACGGGTGATCAATGCTTACTGAACTGTAAGAGTGTCCAAGTGTCATTCTGGCAGGCGTAGCTTGGGCAGCCCTGGGCATATCCTCTTCCCTGTGGGCCACAGGCATGCTGCCAGACCCGAAGCTGGCCTAGCACAGCAGTCATGGGCTCGACAAGTGACAAACGGTTTGTTTTGTAGCTTCCTCCCATAAGCCCATGTCGGCAGTGAGAGCATGAAAGCCCAGCTCTATTCCACCCAAAGCCACCATGTGCTCACGCCCTGCTGCAAAGCCCTCAATGGCTCATGGGGGCCCCACTATGGCTTCAGAAGCCTCAGGAAGTTGGTAGGAGCTAGAAAGTCCTAGAAGGGGGCTCCAGGGTCTTTGCCCTGAGATTGAGCTAAGGCGACAAAGGCCATTCACAGAGATCCTTGCTCCCACACCCTCTCAGGACCCCGCTACCTCCAGGGGAAGGGCACACATTTGAACTGAGTTGCTAAACTCCCCTGAAGTGCCCACTGGTACGCTCAGTTTATTGAGAGTTAATTCTGTATAGGTTTTGTGTTCCATGCACGGTTGTATCCAGAGCGTGGGAGACAGCTCCTGCCAGCTCGCTTTTTTCTTTCTCCCTTAGCATCATCAAAGTGAAGGGCAACCTCTTCTGTAATTGCTGAAGGACAGGGAATTCCCTCTACTGCTTGCTTGTGAGTAAGCCAGCCCTGACTGCAGGCCAGGAAATAGCTGTGGAAGAAGTCAGAGGCCAGACCCCCGAGGGCCAGGTGCCACCAAATCCTAAGAGAGAACAAGCTCACCAGAAGGAATGTAGACGATAAACCTCTGTCTTCACTCTGCCTGTGGGAGGCTGGGTGGCCTGCCTGGGCTTCAGCCTCCAAGCTGTAAGGTCAGGGGGTCGGGTCAGCCCATATCTGAGATGCCTTTGTACTCCATAGTCTCTGATGCTTAAGATCTTGGTTCCTGTCAACACTGACTCCTCTCAACACCTTGGCCCAGCGTTCACTGGGGCAACTTTCAACCAGGTAAAGAGCTAAGAAGCTAACCTATGGAGTGGAGAATTGAAAGAAAGAAAAATAATACTCCCCGACAAGTGCAAGTCACCTTACAGCTTGCAAGGTGGCTCCTGTCCCATGATGGGCAACGGTTAATGCACACATGAAATGAGCCAGGAGCTAAGCTGGGGCCTTCTTCCCCTAGGGCCTAGGGTCCCTCAGGAATGAAAAGACAGGCGAACATCCCAGGGAGCCCCAGAAACTATAGGCAAAGTAGTGTGAACATGAGGACATGATTTCTTTTTTCCTCTGGAGAGAGAGAGAGAAAGAATCCAGAACTTTCATCAGCTTTTCAAAGGGGCCTGTGATTCCAAAATGGGTATAAACCATTGAATTCAGCTAGGCTCACGGAGTAGAAAGTGGATCAGGGCTTTCCATATGAGGAATTGAGAAATACAGTCACACTTATGTTCCTGGGGGTGGGGGGGTGGGGCAGAGGGGCCAGTCCCCCAAGCAAGCAATGACTGGACAGCCTCATTACCCTTTCTGAGGGTATCACCTTGGGGCAGGGTGGGGGATGCTGGGCTGCTCTGGCAGTTGCTCAGCTGGAAACCCAGGAGCCAGGGCAGTCGATGAGGGAGAAGAGAAGGAAGATGAACCAACAAAATAAAGGGTATCCTGATGGTATCCTGACTCAGCTTAAAAACCCACCATCCTTCTCCTCCCACGTCGCAGAGGCAACTGGGCCTAGCCCCCAGTCCACTTCCTCACCCACAGCCAGAGCTGAAACAACGTGTAGCCCATCTCCAACCCTTGCCATCCAAGCCAAACCACACGGGCCACGACTGTTTCACGTTGGTGAGAAACGACAGTACTCATTCTGCCTGTTTCGGAGAGTAGGAAGTGTGAAAGTACTTTGGGAAATGGACTCTCCTCATTCATTTGTAAGTTAGTTCTCACTCTGCTGAAAGGAAAGAGAAGGTAGTCCTGTCCCCCCTTGAGTATCACCTGCCTCTACTCAGGGACAACAGGGCAGGTGGCTAGAGCCTAGCGCCCCTCCCCCCCACAGTGTTCACCAAGCCAACACCGGTCAGCACCATCATTACTGCCATTCACAATGCAGTGTGATAATTCATTCAAGCCCTTTTTCGGATTTTTGTCATCATGTTACAAAGGCGGGCCACGATTCACTTCTAATGTCGTTATTTAAAAAGAAGGGGATAAGCAAATGATAACAGATACAATTTGATTATGTGAACCTACTCTGTGCAAACTGAGATATGTTTCAATAAACATTGACTAAGTGTCTGTCTACTATTTCCTGGGTAATCTGCTAGACTCGTAAGGCAATAAAACAACTGAGATGTGGCCCTGGCCCTCAAGAACTTTATAATCCACTGGCAAGAGATGGGCTCACATGCTTCTACCAGGAAGCCCTTCCACCTCAGGTCGTCTTACCTTCCCATTGCCTCTCCTTGGGATCTGGAAAACTGCACACTATCCCCAGCCTCGTGCTCCCAGCCCCCTGGGAACCATCTGTAGCTCCCATCAACCTCGGCCCTGTCACTTACCAGATTCCAAGCACACTAAACCACTCATCACTCCCACCAAACACTGCCGTGCACTCCTGTGTGCTCCCACCTGGGCCCTTGATCTTGGTACTATTTCCAAAATGGCCAGGAAACAGATGTTTACAGGAACAAAAGGGAGGAGGCCGTGGTCAAGTAAATCCGACAGCTGCCAAGCTGGATAGGCTTCTTTCCTGCTCTTGTGTGCAAGAGCCTCAAAGAGGAGGACAGCACAATTTCTCCTGCGTCCACATGACCACTAAACCCTTCAAGATGGTGCATCACCTGTGACCGCGGGCAGCTCGGAATGAAGGCTGGAGGTGGAGCCCCCACCTAGACCCTCTCTGGCCCTGCCACGCTCAAGTGTCCGACTGGGACGAGAGTAGTGAGATAAACAGACATGACCCCTCCGCTCCTGGAATCCAGTGAGGAAGTCCCACAAGTCTAGAATATAAACATACAACTGTAGGGAGAGCAAGTCAAATCGGAGGACGCTGAGCTAACTTCTGGTGGCAGGCACGCAGGAGCTGAGACGAGCAAGGAAGAGACAGGGTCTGCAGGGGGAAAGAGCCAATGCCATGTGAGGGGGGCTGGAAAGGCCAGTGTGGCTGGGGTCCAGGGGCCACAGAGAAGCCGGAGGAAGAAGGGAAGGACCTCCCAAGGGCCAGTGGCAGCATCCCATATGTGTTTCACAGGATCTCTTGGGAGGGTGGCGAGCAGACCGGTGAGAGGTGAGGAAGCCCAGGGCAGGCCAGTGAGGGGGTCAGGGCAGTGGTCCAGGTGAGAGAGGGCCGGGGTGCAGGGAACGACACAGGACAAGGGGAGCACGGAGTTGTATAGGAGACGGAACAAGTGTGGTGTGAGGGAAGTTGCTGTTCATGCCGTGGATGCATATGAGGCAGGGTCAGAGGTGGTCAGCTGGGTCGGGGACGCGTGGACTTTGACATGTCTATGAGGCATCTAGGCGGAAGCATCGAATGTGCTGGTGGAATAATAAAGCTCCGTATTTCTGAAGTATATTTTAAAATTCTAAATTTTTTTTTTTTTACCAGTTCAGAGTAGCCATTCCACTCGACCCAGTCAGGTCGTCCTGAAAACATGAAGAGACAGCTGGAGATGTCTCTTGTCCCCAGATGGACAAATCCATCGGACCCCGGGTGGCGGCCCTCCCCTGCCCTCGGCCCCCAGCTACAAGTTCATTGACCCTGAGAGCAACGTGGTCACTTACTGTCTATGTGCTTGAATTTGCCAGGAACTTTTTGTTTGCACTTCGAATGGCTCTAGCACACAAAACTCTCAGATAAAACTCCATCTGTGGTTAATGGAAAGATCTGCTTAAATGTTGCATCACTGCTGGAAAGAAACCTGAGCTTTGATTAAACTCTGGGGGCAAAGTCCCATCCTACAAAACAGAGTGCCTACTCTGGTCGTAGAAACCATTTCCAACTTCTGAGCTTAAAACACTGACATACAGCCTCAAACCGAAGGCTCCCACCGCCCCAGAAGGAGCCAGGGAGGGCCTGCCTGGTAACATCTTTATCCTTCCATTTCCGTCATCAATCTGGCTGAGAACGGAAAGGAAGGGAAGGGCTGGGCCACAGTCATCACACTAAAATGTAAGGGTTGGAAGATGCAGCCAGCCACGCCGAACTATAAGCCAGCTTGGAACAAAATCAGAATAAGTAATTTAAAAAAAATTTGTGAGCCCTTACAGCCATTGGCTGATGCTTCTGTAACATCCACCCTTCTCCAGACTTTTGGCAAAAGAACAAGTTAAAAACAAATGCTTTCAGTTTGCTTAAATGACAGCCCTTGGAAAAACCCAGTGACTGATACTGAGCGCACGGAGAACAGTCGGGTTGTTCTCCCAAGGAGAGGGCTGATCCACAAAGCCCTTGGAGCAAAATGGCCCTTTTCCGAGGGTGGTTAGAAAAAGCATCGAGTAAAGGTAATTAAGAATGTAAAGAAAAATGACAGCACAATTCTGGGACGGGATTCGTGCAAAAAAAAAAAAAGATGCTGAATAAATGCGTGTGTCTGTACGCATGCATGTGAAAAGGAGGCTTCAGTCTCCAGTATTCCCTCCCCACTTGTGTTTTGTTTTGTTTTGTTTTGTTTTGTTTTGTTTTGTTTTGTTTTAACAAACGTACATTCCATCAGCTCTTTTGTGAGGTAGGGGTGGATTGTAAATTCCATCCCTTATCAAAGCGCCTTTTATACAATAGGGGCTGGAGCTAATTACAATAAAATACCATCTGCATTCGATCGCACTGTACTCGAAGCCCTGTAACGTTCATTTCCAGTGTGGTCATTCGAACCTAACGGCGACTTTGCATTCCAGTGTCTCTGAATAATATTAACTCATCTTGTCCTTCCCTTAATAATACTAATCACACAATCTCCACGTGCCTAGGTGTCGCAGAAATGCTTCGCTGGTGTAGGAAAGCGTTCTGGAGCGCTGCAAGAAGAGGGGACACGAAACACTTGGGTAAAACAGCTAGTTTTGCCCAATATTTCATCAGAATGACGAGGCTGAGTAAATATTAGTCAGTCAGACTGACAGCTAATTGATGTGGTTTGTATTCAACTAGACTGATTTAAACAGGGGGATTTCGCTTGCAATTCTGAATTCATAATTGGGTCAGATGTCTCTCTGCTTTCCCCGCGGCTACACATTTAATTAGTGCTGCGAGAAAGCAGTTTCCAATGGCGCGGAAGTCGCAGGCAGGGCTGGAATGTGCAGGCTGTTTACCTTTTCTCTCTTTCTTCTATAGTGGAACGATGCTTTGATAGCAGCCGTGCCAGGAGCTTATTAAGCTCTTGTATAAAAAGGACTTTTATTTGAAAGAAGCCTAACTGCCACAGTCTTTGCTAAGAGAAAGTCTATCCTTCCTTCTCCTCCCTTCAAGGACACGGCTGATGGCTGGGAATGGTTTGCCCTAGTCCCAAACGGAATGGAGTACTCTGGATGCACCTCAAAAGCTCCGCACCTTAGATGCTGCAGTGGAGGCGGGTCTGGACACACTCACCCCGCGCCCTCAAGCCTTCCCGGGGCTCCTTCTCTGCTGCCTCGGACAATCTCATGCTCGACTCCCGTGCCCTGCTCTGCTGGGAGCTCACCCAGGGCGGACACCAGCTGGGTGGGCATCTCTGCTTCCCCTGGGGCACAGGACCTGGTGCCCAGCAGGTGCACAATCAATATTTGGGGAAGGAAAGGAAGTGCAGTCAAGTTGAATACCTTTAAATGGTTTTTTTTTGGGGGGGGGGTTAGGTGTTTTGTTTGTTTGTTTTGGTTTTTTAGTTTTTTTATTTATTTACTAGAGAGAGAGAGCGCATAGAGGGAGAGGGAGAACCGGACTCCTCACTGAGCAGAGAGCCCAACATGGGACTCAATCCCAGTACCCTGGGATCATGACCTGAGCTGAAGGAAGATGCTTAACCGACTAAGCCATGGCACCCCTGTTGTTGTTGTTGTTTTAAGATTCATTTATTTATTTATTTTGAGAGAGAAAGTGAGTGGGGGGACGGGCAGAGGAAAAGGGGAGAGAGAATCCCAAGTAGACTGTGCTAAGCACAGAGACCAACGTGGGGCTCCATCCCAGGACCCTGAGATCATGACCCGAGCTGAAATCAAGAGTCGGACGCTTGACCAACTGAGCCACCCAGGTGCCCCAGATACCTTTAAATGCTTTAAAATTTAGTCACTTAAAAAAAAAGAAAAGGATGTCTATAAAACCCAGGGCCTATTTGAACTCTGCCGTAGTTCTAACAATGGAGAAACAGCTTAATTCTCAGAACACCCTGTGGAAAAGGGGCGAAGAAATGCATTATCTTCTCATTGCATGCTTCTGTTGGGGGATGGGGCGCCCCCATTCAAATGGCTTGCCCTTTGTTGTAACTATCTGTGCGGTCACAATTTAGTAACTCTGAAGACTTCCGACGAAGAATAAGCATGTCGTCTTCACAAGACTGAGCACACTGTTTGCTTGGAAGTGAAACTGTGGAGGGCCTGGCAGCAACTCTCTTCCTAGCTCTGAAGTTTCTCAACGCTTTGACCGATGCTGCTATGAATCTCAGCACCCCCCTTGCAGCCTCAAAGAATGCACGTTTCTTTGGTGACCAGCACAGAGTACCCCTGCCTCTCAGTTTTACGCTGACGGAAGCATTGGGTCTGCTCATCCTTCTCCAATTGTCCCATTCTGTGGGAACCAGCAACCACAATCTGGTTCTGCTTCCAAGAGGAAAAAAATATACCAGCCCCTTTGAAAAACCATTCCTTCCAATTCCACGGTGTGAATGCACGTAGGTATAATCATAGCCCCCTATGACCAGGTGAGCTGATGTACGTTAAAGTGCTCAAGCACACAGTAGTCCCTCAAGGAACATCGACTTCTTTTTCCCTGCTAAGAAGGAATAATGGGATCAGCATAACGCTTCATATCTATTTCCTTCTATCTATCCACCTATCCATTCGTCCACCCGCCTATAAAATCAATTCAGAAACATGTACAGGACACGTCTGCCTCGTCACAGCCCAATTACATGAATGAGTTCCACGAAGACCAGTTTCTCACGTGCTTGAAATCAGAACACCACAAAGTGATACTCTGGAGAAGAGTGTTTCAGGTACTGTGCCCAGGGATAGACCATCTCTCCCGCGCACCCGCCCTGCCGCCCCCCAGCTCAACCATTATAAAAGGAGCCACGACGGTCAGTGGGGTGACCTGGGACAACACCAAGAACCCATTTCTCCATGGAAACTTTATTATAAATATTATGTGGAAATAAAGAAATAGTATTGTGGGGGCGCCTGGGTGGCTCAGTTGGTTGGGCGACTGCCTTCGGCTCAGGTCATGATCCTGGAGTCCCGGGATCGAGTCCCACATTGGGCTCCCTGCTCAGCAGGGAGTCTGCTTCTCCCTCTGACCCTCCTCCCTCTCATGCTCTCTGTCTCTCATTCTCTCTCGCAAATAAATAAAATCTTAAAAAAAATTAAAAAAAAAAAAAAAGAAATAGTATTGTGTACCAGCTTGGAAACCCAAACTAAGATTTAGCACAGTGCTTTTAAGAGAAGGCAATTTCCACGTTTGAAAACTATGATTTACCAACGGCCTCGTTTCTTTGTTGGGACTGCTACTGCTTCTCACGTGAACTTCATCTTCCCTCCTAGCACTCATCACCCTGTGACAGATCACCTATTTTTCTACTTACTGCTTCATTTTCTATCAGCCTGACCACCCACTCCAATGGTGCTGCTATAGACAGAGCCTGACCCATGGCTGGTATTCCAACGTCACCTGCTGAATGAAATGAAGTCCTCAAAAGCTAACCTGACCATCTTGAATTGCTAAGCTTACCAAGTATCTGTTGACTGGCGTTTGTGAAATATTAGTCTCAAATCTATTCAGAGAGGATGTATAATTCATGACCCAATAAACATGAATTATGTGAAAACAAACTGTTAGCCTCTTGGCAAATTATACTTGTTCTAATCTCAAAGATCACATGAATTTGTAAGGGGAAAACAGTTACATTTACTGCCCAAGTTTTTAAATTCATGGTAACCATTAAGACATGTGTTACAACAGCCACAAAAACATCCATCAGCCCAATCTCTGATTTCATTACTAAAACACTAGCTTGAATTGCCTAGTCTTTTTGCTTTTGTGGGTAATATCCATATACTTATCTCCTCTGATTACTGTGTGTTTTGGTCATTTTTAAAGATTTAAACTATCAATAGATCTATACTCATTTGATTGTTGCTTGAAACTGAAGTCCAGAATTGAAATTCTCCAGTCTGACAAGGGACCACATATTTCGAGCATTCAGATGGTCTGATGTGTTGCTGTACATCTGTCTTGCTTTATTCAAAGCAGAGAAGGAAAACTAATGACTATGTAGCATCACGTTAAAAATCAAGACTCAGTTATTTTTAGAGCCACAGACCCAGACTAAAAGCAAACAACACGCCAGGCCTTAGGAAAGGGCCCTGTCCCGGGAGCAGAGATCTGTACCTGGGGGTCCATTCTGAGGAAGGTATGAGGGCCTCTGCTACTCAAGGTCGATCTTTTAAAGGTTTTGCTATGATAAAAATGGTAGTAATCTTCCAGGTTTCCAATCTGCAAAACAAGAAGCAGGATGTTATCAGTTAATACAGTCTTTTTAAAATTTTTTTAAGATTTTATTTATTTGAGAGAGAGAGAGCACACGAGCAGGGGGGAGGGGCAAAGGGAGAGGGAGAAGCAGACTCCCCACTGAGCAGAGTAGATGCAGGGCTCAATCTCAGGTCCCTGAGATCATGACTTGAGCCAAAGGTAGACGCTTAATTGACTGAGCCACCCAGGTGCCCCCAGTTAATAGTCTTATAACCAGCTTCAAAAATCCTCCATCCCACAAAAATCTTCTCCTTCTCTGAGAGACTCATTCTGCTCCCAAAGGACACACACTCTCCATTACGCTTTCCCACTCATCTCTCTGGCCAATATTCAGTGTTTACAAACACGAAGGTGGATTTAGATACTCCTTTTGGGACAAACAATGCAGGGTAGTATTTCCAATGAAGCACATGCTCTTCCAGATCTTGTGGTAAGTTCATAGCCTTTAAAATTTGTATTCTCTTGGCCAAGTTTTATAGACAAGAATTAATGTTCACTTAGGGTCAAGCATCCCTGAAATAGCTAAGTTAGTGTCAAGTCAGGCCTGCACCAAAATATTCATTTATAAACAAACTCCATACTCTC